GGTGGCGGTGGTGGCGGCAGCGGTGGTGGCGGTGGTGATGGTGGTGGTGGTGGAGGCTGTGGTGGTGGTGGTTGTGGCTGTGGTGGCCGTGGCAGCTGTGGTGGTGGAGGCTGTGGTGGCGGTGGTGGCGGTTGTAGTGGTGGCCGTGGTGGCCGTGGTGGCCGTGGTAGCAGTGGGCAAGAAGGAAGTTTCGATGGGAGGCATAGTGTGTGTTCTAGTCATTGACTCTTGTAGCCAGAAGGAGCCCTCCTAGGCATTGCGGGTGGAGCATGGCTGAAGAAATGGGCACCTCTCTCAAAAAATTCAGCCTACATGTGACACTTTGGCACATGAGTTTGGGCGGGGATGGAGGACTGCCTTGCTCTAGTCTACGTAATAGGCAAAAATGTATGCAACCAAAGTACTACATAAATGTCAAATGATCTTATGTAAAGTTCCTGTTAATTATCCTTTGATTTAACAAACTCCTATGATGCACCTAGATCACGGTCAGCCCTCTAGAGGTACTGGAGATGGTCTCAAGTGTCTGTGCCTTTATAACTATAATTCCTCAAGAGCAGGGATTTAGACTATCTCATTCCTTTTTTGTTATTTTTGTTTTTAAATTCCTTGGGGCCTCTTTCCTGGAATATTTCAACATGGCAGTCGAAGGTGTCACTCTCTTCCATCTTAGATCCAAGAACTGCTGGCAGAAACGTCCCTTGCCCCTTTGTGCGCTCTGAGCGAATGAGCCCTAAGTGCAGGCGGAAGCTAGGTGGAGAAGGGAGAGCCTGAAGAAGGAAAGAGAGATGAGGGAGGAGAGAAAGTCCTGATGATTTTAGAATTTAGCTGTGAAGTCTTTGCTACCCCCGCCTTCCCATCATCTGATCTTATGAACCTGTGAGGGCGCCTCAGGTGGTTTGACATGGGTTTCCATGACTCGCACCTGAAGAGTCTTGATTTACACCGTGTTCGACACTGAACCATCATCTTCCTTTCCTAAAGTTGCATACCTTCTTGTATCCTGGTTAATGGTTCTGCTCACCACCTTGTCCCCTCAGGCTGGAACCCTGGGAGTCATTCTAGAATCTTTCTCGCCACTCCTGCCAGTCAGTGATAATCACCTAGTCCTCATGATATTGCCCTAAATATTCCTTGAACCCATTTCCTTCTCTCTATTCTTGTCATCGTTACACAGGCCCTCATGAGCTCTTGCCTGGGGTTTCGCAATGGCCTTCTACCTGGGTTCCTTCCAGTCTCATCCTTATTAAATCCATTCGTCACGTAGCAAATGTAGTAAGATATCTAAAATGCAAACCTGACTTTATCAGTACAATGCCTGTGTTTCCTGTGACCCAGTCTTATCCTCTCCAGTTTCTCACCTTTCATTTTACACCGCATTGATCAACAGAAAGCTTATTATTTCACACACGAACCAAGTCTAGGCTCTTGTGTCGGTAGCTATGACGGCTTTCATACTTAGAAAGAGAGGTGGTCTGTTTCTATTGACTTAGTCTTCAACAGTCTTCAGTACTTTATTTCTTATGAGGCTTCCCTACCTTTTACCATGCCCCTCTCCCCCAGCTATAGAAGAATCATTGCTTCAGCCAGACTATTCTACAATACAGTTACCTACGATTGTCTTTTTCCCCTCTGGTTGTTTCTTTACACAGATCTTTCTGCCTGCAGAGCTCTTCACTTCTTTTCTGCCCATACCCTCGTACCCTCAAGGCATTCCATCGCAAGCTTATTTATTGCTTTTCCAGCATCTAAATTCTTATCATATTGCGAAAGCCATCCTGAGACAAAAGAGCAAGGCTGGAGGCATCACTCCGAGCAACTTCAAATTACACCACAAAGCGTCAGTAATCAATACGGCATGGTAGTGGCAGAAAAACACACAGACCAGTGGAACAGAATCGAGAGCCCAGAAGTAAACCCATGTTTATATGGGCAAATAATTTTCTACAAAAGAGTCAAACACATATAGTGGAGAAAGGAAAGCCTCTTCAATAAATGGTGCTGGAAAATTGAAAGCCACTTGCAAAAGAATGAAACTAGACTGTTGTCTATCACCACATGCCAAAATGAACTCAGAATGGATTAAGGACCTGAATATAAGACCTGAAACAATAAATTACAAAGAAGAAAACATAGGAACTAAACTCATGGACCTTGGACTTAAGAGGATTTTATGAATTTGATCTCAAAGGCAAGGGAAGTAAAAACAAAAATAAATGAATGGGACTACATCAAACTAAAAAGCCTCTGCACAGCAAAAGAAACTGTCAGTAAGGTAAAGAGACAACCATCTGAATGGGAAAATATATTTGCAAGCAATGCCTCCGATAAGGGCCTAATATCCAAAACATACAAAGAACTCATACAACTCAATAACAACAACAAAAAACTAAATGATCCAATTAAAAAATGGACAGAGGACCTGAACAGATATTTCTCCCAAGAAGACATACAAATGGCCAACAAACATATGAAAGGATGCTCAACATTGCTAGCTATTAGGGAAAAGGAAATCAAAACCACAATGAGATATGATCTTACACCTGTTAGAAGAGCTATAATCAATAGGACAATTAATAACAAATGTTGGAGAGGCTGCGGAGAAAAAGGAACCCTCATACACTGCTGGTGGGACTGCAAGTTGCTACAGCCACTATGGAAAACAGTATGGGGTTCCTCAAAAAACTAAGAATTGATCTACCATATGATCTAGCAATCCCTCTACTGGGTATTTACCCCAAAGACTTGAAAACCCATATCCCAAAA